CTTCTAAAAAAAAAAAAAAAAAAAAAAAGACAGGTGTCCCTTGGCACAGTCCTTCCTTCCTTGCTTCGGTCTCCCAGCTGGGACTATGGACGCAAGCCACCAAGCCCGGCTCTTTGTAGATAGGGTCTGGCTATGTTGCCCCTCCAGCCTCAAGGTCATGACCTTCCCACCTCACTCTCCTGAGTCACGCGGATGTAAGCACTATCAGGACACCCTGCTTTAGGTTAGGCCATAAACTGGGTCAGCCCGTGGTTAGGGCGCTGGATCTCATACAGTGACTGCAGTTCAAGTTCCGGGCCGGGCAGCTGTGCCCAATGCAGGAAGAAAGGTGGAGAAGGGCTTGCAATGTGGCCTTTCCCCGGGGGCTGGGGGCTGGGGGCTTTCCCACTTTCCTAAAGTTGCATCTCTCTTCAGCAAGCGCACATGCCCTCTGGCAAAATTTTAAGGGAAAAACTCCGAGCTCCAGCCTCAGGAGGAGCTCAGCTTCCCATCAGCGGGTCCAGCTCTCTCCCGTGCCAGGCCCAAGTCCTTGCCCTGGTCCTGCTGACGTTCTCCTGCCCCTGCTCGGCATCCAGGTCTGACTTCGGAAGTCCCTGTGCGTGGTCCCCCGTGCTCTCTGTCAGGGTCACCTTCCCCGACCTCAGCGGCTCTGCGTACCTAGCAGCACTGTCTCCCCTCCAGCTCACAGCTCCCCAGGGCACATCTGGCTGCTCCCCGCCAGGTCGTCGGTACTCCAAGTACCGGGCACCCGCGCTCGGTTGGTGGTGTCTGTCCAGATGTATAGACACACCGCCCCCACGAAAACCCTCAGTCCACACGGCCATCAGGTAGGGCAGATGGACCTCCACACATGCTCACAATCAGACTGCCCCGTGACAAACACGCCATCCTGGGGGGGAGTGGGTCCCAGTCCTTCCCCCTGCCTAGATCTGCCCTCTGAGTGAACCCAGTCTCAGACTGCAGGAGTGGGGTCTCCAGGCTGGACAGGGAGGGGGTCTCTGGACCCTAGGCCTCAGGCAGCGCCTTCAGCTATGTCTGCAATTTCCTCTCCCCCTTCCTTCCCTCCTCCTCCTCCTAAGACTCCCGCCAAGAAGCCCTCCCCCTCATCCCAGCTCCAGCGAGGAGGGGAGGTGTGGGGGAAAGGTGGGGGCACTTGCAAACTTGCAGGAAGATCCCAGGCGCACACACGGATCACAGCACATGCGTGCTCAGGCCGAGCCAGGTGGGAGACGCGTGTGCCCGGGCAGGTTAGCCAGACGCATCCTGCCGCAGGCTGCTTGTGCAAGACGCTCGGATGAGCCACGTGCGCACGCAGAGGCCCCGCTGGGGGCAGCCTGGCCTGGCCTGGCTCAACCCTGGAGTCCAACAATCATTAACCCTGCATGAGCTGCCCGGCTGGGCCAGCAGGACAGGGCGAGCCTGGGGCCCGAGCCCCCTCCCCGGAGGCAGGTAGTGGGTCTGAGGTGCTGGTAACCTCCGGGAGGTCTTCCCTGGACAAGGCAGCTGGGCCCCTGGGCTGGGAAAGCAAGGTGTAGGGCGTTCTGAGCCCAGGCCCTAGAGTCAGAGGGTAGTAGGCTCAGACCTGACCATCTGCCAGCTATTCACTCGCTCCATGACTCAGTTTCCCTGCGACGAGGGGATGACGGTACCGTTATGGCTGTCAGGAGGATTGCACGAAAGACCTGTCCAGCTCTCAGCCCACTGCCTAGGGCCAGGCAGAACTCCATCGTCGTTATTGTTATTAGTGGCTGGGGGGGGGGGGGGGGGG